GAAGGTACAATATAGTTATTCATGAATCTCATCAAGATCTTCCACATATGAGTATCGTTATCCGTATCGTGTTCATTTTACTCTATTTCAAGCCCCAAAAGGTCAAGAGTTAAACATCTTCTATATCAGTAATTGGTTTACTTGAGATTTTTTTTCGTGAAACTCATTCTCGAATTTATATCTTGCGCAGAGCGCAAGCCTATAAAGTTATTTTCTGAGGACGACGAAATTCTGGACAATTTCTTTCACAGACTCCTGATTATTCGCATTGGTTTAGGGCTTCTTCATCTAAGTTTTTGTGTGAAGGTCAAAACGGGTAGTGTCTCTGGTGGAAGAATGTCCTAGATGCTAAAGTCTCTGTTAATTTCAGTTATAATGAAATTTCTTGAAAGTCCTGCTAACATTTCCGTTATCGGACTCAAGGTCACTGGCATCTGTACATTTTCCTTGTGAAATGTTCTCGTACTGTAAATTTTTCTAAAAGCTTCCTGTGCTACAGAATAGTTGTAGTCATTCCTAGAGGTGTGCAGCGAAGTGCATGCGGCCTGTATAAACTTGCCTTTTGTTACAATATGACTCAGACCTGGTATCATAGCAACGTGTATCCATCCAGCTTGAGTAGCTGCAAAGGCTTTTATCTGGCTTTTGTTTTTTTCTTCAATAGCTATGCTAGCAGCTTTGTTACGAGTGGACCAGTCGCACTTACAAATGAGTTCTCATATATTCGATATCGTTATGAGTTCGCTTTGATAAGCGAAAAAAATTGTAAGTAATCTTCTGGGAAATGTTTTTACAATGTCCGTGGGCATGGTCTCTTCATCGAATACCTGAGCATGGAACCTCTTTGTATTACTTTGAAACAAAAGTTCTGTTGCATTACATATTTTCAAAATTCCTTCTACATTGCGTTCTCATATTTGCATGATTTTGAATTTGTTTGAAAATCATATCAAAATGTCTCTACAAGAGTTCCTTGTCGGTTTTTAATGAGCATATATTGCAAAAATGGATAGCATTGGAAAAAATTACACATCTCTTTTCATATTTGGACATAGGAAATCTGCAACTTGAGGTAAAAATCGGATTCGGTCATAAGTCGTACTACTTGCTTTTTAAAATAGGCAATTTTGTGCATTACGTTTCTACAGATATTTGGGTGAGAAAAGTGTTAATAGATTGCTAGACTTTTTTTGCTGTTTTGTACCTTTATACAAACACCGTATTTAAAAAGAAGTACAATCAACGCAGTGGTATTTGGGGTAATGGGGTAACTTATAAATCTTAGAATTTTGACTTCTTCAATTCCAAGTTTTAGACTCAAAAGGTTTATACTATGACTAATCTACTAAAGGAAGCCGCTAAAGTTTGTTATGGAGAGCATAATTTTTCTTTCAAATCAAATCATAGGCGTGTAAATCGTCGCGAACGCAAGAAGTTATAATTTTCGAAAATAGTCAAAACTTTTGTTTCAACATGTTAAATTTTTCTTCATCATTACGACTTGTGACGTAACGATCTCTTTTCTTCGTTTTTCGACAGTTTACCTGCCTAACCCGTTTTCAGAGCGCTGCCAACGATGTTGAAGGACATCGCTCAGGATTCAGCCGAATCGCAGGACGAAACAATCAAAGCGATTGTTTCGTACAATTCGTATCCGAAGAATGTCTGTCCCACCACATGTGCAGTCTGCGGTGACTCGGCCTCTGGATATCACTATGAGGTGACTCGTCCAGAATATACTTGTTCCGAACAGGTGCAGGTTCAAGAAGTACTTGTAATATAAACATGTTGCAGGTTCCATCGTGCAATGGCTGCAAAACGTTCTTTCGGCGAACAGTGTTGGCTCAGCGCAAATATGAATGTAAAAAAGGAGGAAAATGTTTTGCATCACTTCCGAAAGGTCATTCTTCCTTTTTTTTATGCAGACATGAATGATCATCAATTTTTTTGTGGGGAAACGGGAATCATGGCCCATGCCCCTCTCCAACCCCACCGAAAATGGATCACAATTTTGAACGTTTTCCACAACAGCGAAAAAATGTACAAGTAACTTGTTTCTGCTTGTAAATAGTCAATATTTTTTTGAGATTGTTAAAAAAGATTTTGCACGGACGAGAATTTTTTTT